CCCCCCCTTGCTGCTGACATGACGTCCCGCCCCGCTCTACTTGCCGGTGTTGACCGCGCTCCCGTTAGCTTAGGACCGAGCGAGCGACGCAATTCATGGGAGCAGGGCGCGGGTGCGGGTCGGAAGGGGTCAACACTTTAAACCCACCCCGCCCCGCCCCACTCAACACCACCCCACCCCGGAGCGCGAATCCACGACTATCTTCACCAAACTTCACTACCAGACCAACTCAAGATTTACCAGCATGCTTATCTTTATAACTGAGACTATATTGGTACGTAAGATATTTCTTTAGCAGTTAATCGTATCAACGGCTATACTTTCATCTGGAAATAAACTGCCTTGCGCGAAAAGGTACGACGCACCCTGGCAACGATCACAATGGCAGTCGAACCGCGTCGAACATAGATTCGAGTGAGTGACACATGGAAAACGGGTTAAGGTCGAGACCGTCGAGACTACTGTACATGTAAGAAGAGATACGGACGGGAAAAGGGGAAAAGTGCCAGATCGAGCAAGCGAGCGAGAGGGAGAGAGAGGGAGAGAAGGGAGGCGGGGGGGGGCTGATGCATCGGCCTGGGGCCTGCCAACAAAATGACCAAAGTGCCACAATGTAAAGTAAAAATTGAATGAAAGTTGAAGGAATTATTTGGATTATTTCTGACTCTCCCTACCTCCCCTTCTATCTGTCACTCGTGTGCGAAGCGTGCACCGCGCTAGCGACACAAGGCGTTTCAAATTACTCAACTATTCGTCCATCCCATGCCCTATCGTCCTGCAGGACATGCCTTGCGGATGACGTTGGACTACTTGACACACTACTTGCTGTGTTCGTGCGGAAACAAACTGGCTGCACTCGCCATCTTGCTTCAAATTTCATGTGCTTGCGACGAATATATAACATTTTTAGGGTTTGGCAAAGAACAAGTATTGAGCTGAAAACCAAAACTGTGTGTAGTCTTAGTCAAGGTTGTTTAACGTTTTGGTGTTGTGCTCAATCGAACAGGCTGCCCTGGGCACAATATTGCCTCCCGCGTACGTTGTTTGCTCCCTTGGCTCCGTTGGTTCGGCGCCCAGATCCTTTCCATTCGGCTTCTTCCAGTGGAACCAAAAACAACCGAACCGGTCTTCTCCGAGCGGACTCCTGGCCTGGTACACGAAAGACACAACGCTCTTGAGAGGAAGGGGGACGCCGTTTTTGATTGGTTCGGAGATTACCACCACACCAGCTATACCGGGTGTATTGTTGAATGCGCTCCAATGTTGGGGGTTTGCCTACTACCTTTGTCCGTAAGGCGCCATATGGCTCCTGCAGCCTGGTGAGTACGCAATCCCGCAACCCGCAACACAGGAGTGCATTCAAAGATACACCCGGTACCTAATCGTTTTGCCAGCTTCTTGGTCATTTGTTATGTGAGCCATACCCCCCTGCCTCCCCCCCTGCCACAAAAAATTTGGAATTAGCTATACCAAAATTAGCAAATTTGTTACTTGGCGGAACTGATTCTTTTTTCCGTGCAAGACAATGACACGAATATCAAGAACATTTTTTTTTAGAGTGCACCCTTTCTAAAGGGTATACCTTGATGTTTTGCCGGGAAGAAACAGACTTTCAGAAAATCCTGAGTCATCGACATCGGCATTTTCTCTCGCACTTGCACAAGAACAAGACTGAATATAATCTACTATCTCACTCCCACTATCCCTGGGCCTGCCTGCAACAGGGTTAAGTGTATTCACTACACGGGACGGAAGGCCCATGGCAATGCACCCTGGCCAGGCCAATGTGAGTGTATGGGAAGGGAGGGGGGGGGGGGGGTCGAGGTTTTATCTCAGTACAATTTCGTTGTTAATAAAAATCCTCTGTAGCCTGTAGCTTGATGAATGGTCGAGGTATGAGGTATCAATACGTAAGTGCAAGTTGGTTGAAAACGAGCCCCTGCTGCTCCCATGCAGACCTCACTGAAAACGGTAGAGACAGATATCTTACTCTCAGGAGAGTGAGATCAGTGACACAAAAAGTCTTACTCTCCTGAGAGTGAGATATCTGATTCTCACTCAAATAAGAGTCATAATTTTCGGTCCTCGACCAATGAGAGTGACTGCAATTAGGTGATGTCAGGGAAATCTTACTCCTCCAGAGTGAGAATTCGGTGCATATGACTCAAATAGGGTGAACCTGATAGTCATCGCTCTGATGGAGCGAGTCAAAATTGTCTCACTCATTTCGAGCACGACACCTCACTCAAAGGTTTTCAGTGCTGTTCTAAAGAAGCGAGGGAGGGGGGGGGACTACTTTTCCTCTTCTGGTAGAGACAGTCTTGGGGACTGTCTAAAAATGGTGTTTTGTAGTATTGCGCACGCCCCTTCGTGGTTTCCGAGAGACAATCATTTCAAACAGCCCCAACTTGTCATTGTCACAATGGTCCTCGCTGCTTCTTCCCCTCCTCGGTCCGGGAAGAGTATATATATAGACGGGGGAGCAATCATCCCCGCGCTGGTTTATGGGCTCAACGCGCCCCCAATTATTTCATTTAACTCTGCCCTCCCCCTCTCCGCCATGCCCACTATGCCGCCGGCCGCGCCGCTGGATGAGCGAGTTGTGTTTGAGAACAATAACGCACAACAACGCCTACTGGAGCGGGCGGGGGATAGTGCCCGTCACAACACTTGTCCTGCTGGCCGTCACTTGGACGACGACGGTGACTGGCCGACTTTCGTCATGATGATGGACGGCGCCACGGGCGAGCCTCTCAATGGTTACTGCCGACTGAACGGGCCCCGCCGGCTCTGCTCCGTCCAGTGCCTCACGCTGCACCCGGGGGGCGCCACGCTGGTCTGGTCGCGGCGGCGCCGGCACGGCAGGTGAGAGGCTCGGGATGCCTACCAGCACGGCGCGGAACCGAGCAGCCCAGGGCGACGGGCGACTTCGACACCAGGACGACAGCGGCCGCCTCGTGCTGTGTGGGTCAACGCACCGTGAAGGCCGGGAGGCCAGGCCGGCGCGGCGGCGGGGCCGGCGACCATAGGACTGTGTGTTGACTCGGCCGAACCCTTTCGCCATCACACGGCACCCTGCGCGCCACTGGCGCCACCCCGTGAACTTGACCTCGAGGTATAAACGTCCAAGCATCCGTAACCAGAGGCGGCCCTGCGCGCCCGCGGGGTAGGCAACCCATTCACCGCCGCACTCGTGTCAGCCGGAGTCAGCTTATAGCTAAGTCAGCTAAAGCAGCAGACACATGCGCCTCAAGTCTCTACCCC